TTTAGAGCCCAGTCTCCTAGTCAACAGTCCCCCCAACCCCACCCCACCCTCTAATACCACCTGGAGAGTTGTGTTTTTGAAATGCAAATCTGATCCTTCCTGGCTAGCTTTATCCTCTTCCCTTGTTTCCCACCACCTATAGGTCAAGATTTCAGCCTGTGCCAGATCTGGCCCCACCCTTCCTCTCAAGCCTCATCTCCAGCCATGCAGCCCACCCATCCCTACCATTCCCCACCTTCTGTTCCAGCCACATGGAACTCTTTGGAGCTACCCTAACAAGCCATAGTGCCTTTGCACATGCTGCTCCAACTACCTAGAAGATAAAATCCAGCCCCAAGCACCATCTCTCTCCTCCATGAAGCCTTTTCCTCCATGAAAAGCTACATCCTGGCACCTTGTACACTGTACATCTTTACGTGTCTGCCCCCATGCCTAGCCTGTGAACATTGTTGTATTCATTTCTATATCTATAGGCTTAGGGTTGGCAAAAGGCATTCAACAGTATTGAACTGAATTGTGGAGTAGTCATAATAGTAATAATCGCTAATATTTACCAAATGTTTACTATGTGCTTAGCACTGTGCAAAGCATTCCATGTATCATACCTCATTTTGTTCTCATAACAACCCTATGAAACAGATACTATCATTGATCCTGTTTTACAGCTGAGAAAATGAAGAGATGAAGTCACTTGCCCAAGCCCACCCGACTAGTAGGCAGCAAAGCCCAAATGACTCTAGAGCCAGTGCTCGTAAGCAATACTAGGTATACAGTCCACCCCAATACCCTCATGTTACAAAAAGAGGAAGCAAGCAAGAAAGGGAAAGTGACTTGTCCACAGTCAGTAACAAGGAGTGGACTCTGATCTTTAGATTCCTTATTCCATGCTCTTCCTCTTCTCATTCTTGCAGGATCCTAATCCAGGAGGACACAGAAATCAAGTTCTCCTGTCTCCCCTAAAATAGAACCCAGCATGGGTCTGGGCTCAGTGGGGCTCAAATCTATGGCCAGGAGATGCACCAGTCAAAAAGATAAATCTACTTCAAAACCATCTGAGGCCTGCTTAGATATTACAATGTCAAGGCTTGAGAGGAAACTTGGATATCATTTAGTACCATCTCCCATTTTATAAAGTTATTCATTCAAGAAATTTATTGAACACCAATCATACGCCAGGCACTGAGTGGGGGCACTACAAAGACCGATAATCAAGCTCCTGCCCAGATGGTATTTGCAATCCAGCGAGGAGAGACAAACAACTAACAAGTTCATGCATAATTACAAACTCTCATAAGCAGTACGAAATATAGGGAGTTCTAAGAACGTGTTACAGGAAAAACTGACTTAACTTAGGGAATTGGTGAAGCCCCCTGTCCCCTGAGAAAGTGACTCTTGAGCTGAAATCTGAAGAATGGGAGTTAACCGAGATAAGAAGCAGGGGAAGAGTATGCTAGGCAGGAGGAACAGCATGTGCAAAATCCCCAGGCAAAAGAGTTCCTGTTGCCTTGGTGAACTGAAAGAAGGCCAGAGTGGCGGTTTCCAGAGGGTGGATAGGGACTCCATCCTGCAGGTCTTGTAGGTTAAGGTAAGGAGTGGAGAAACTGAGCAGAGCGGGAAACCCCTTGTTCAGAACTTGGCCCAGATTAGAGGGCCAAGTCATTGAGTCATCGCATTATTCAGTGAAGGAGTGATGTGTCCAAGATCGAAAGGAAGACCTGAGACTTGAAACCAGAACCGCTATCTGCCAGGTTAGGGCTGCAGGTGACTTCTGGTATGTAGTGTGGGAGGGAGCAGGGGAGGCTTCCCAGGTGTTTCAACCTGTAGGAGGTTCTGGCTCACTGTCTGAACTTTTCTTGAGCTCTAGAGTACACCACAATCACCTGTGTTTGTTAAAACAGACTGCTGGGCTTCACCCCCAAAGTTATTGATTCAGTAGGTCTGGCATGAGGCCCAAGAATTTGCATTTCTAAAAAGATCCTAGGTGATCTTACTGCTGCTGGTGGGGTGACCATACTCTGAGAACCACTGCTCTAGACTAAAGTATATGGGGGCTGGGGGTCGTGGAGTATGGGGACCATGACCAAGATCCTTAGGGGCTATAATAGTAGATTCCTAAATCTAGGTAACAATGAGACAAACTCTAGCACTCTGAAAAAGGGAAGGGTCTCAAAGTCCCAGAATCTAGCCTACTAGCTTCTCAGCCAGGGAAACTGAGTTGAGTGAACATAAAGGGTTTGACCAAAGTCAAAAGGAGACCCATGGACCAGACTCCAGGACTCCTGAGCTCCAAACCTTTCTTGTCCTGGGAAAGGAATTCAGGGAAGGGGACAGCAAGCTCAGCTTTTCCCATACTCTGCTGCCTTGGGCAGGGAAACATTTTAAGAATTGCAGAAATCTGCTGTTGGCCTCCAATCCTATCACCCATCCACCCTCCTTCCTTTCACACTCCCAGCTCCCTCCCTTTACACTCCAAATCCTGTGCACTTTATCCTGGCAAACCAGGCAGCAGAGGGGGAGGTGAAGTTATAGGGAAAAATAACTGGAAGTGAAGGAAGAATTCTTGCACTTGAATATACTTCTTCCAGAACAACTACTTCCTCCTATAAGTCTCAGTTTCTATCCTTGTATCCAGTCTTACCCCAATCTACCTACATTTCAGTTCCAGCATCTGAAACCCACACAGCCAGGTTTCCAAACCACCTTTTCACCCAGTTTTTCTAAAATAGAGTGGCTCTGGACAAAATTTTCTATCCTCTTCCAGTTGGCAGCAAAATGTCACTTCTCTTGCAAAACCTACATGCACAGTCTCACTAATATACAATCAGCTATATGTACATAAAAACAAATATACCAGAATTTATAAAAACACATAGACATCAAGAGATACATTATTCACTGTTCACTGGTAAAACACACCTAGCACCCAAATGCCTATGAAACAGAACACACACATGCACACAGACTAGAGACCTAGAAATGCATGCACCGCATCAATAAATGGGGAAAGAGGTACTTACACACCCAGAGACCCTTCTCAAAGTAGAGGTCTCCTGAGGGGTAATTCCTGGGGAAAGGGGGTGCGCTGGTCCTTTAAGAGAGTGGCTCCCCTCCTCCTTCCAGGGCACCTAAGATGCGGCTCTACTCTCGGGGCAGGAGTAGGGGGGAGTGTGGTTGACCCGGCCAGGCCCGGCCTGGCTCTGGACGACAGTCTCAGCGCCGCGACAGGAAATGGATTCCTGAACCGACTGGGACAGCAGCCTGGGGCTCGCTGTCGCTGCCACTGCCACCACCAACCCACACCCACACCCCACACCGGGCTTCGGGCAGGGCACGCCCTCCGCTCCAGCCCAACCGGG